CTTCTACAGTCGCTCTTCATGAAATTTGTTTATTTTAGTAATTTCTCATTTGTAAGCAGATCATATAACCTCGCCTGGTTAACTAGTTTACTAGTTACTAGCCGGTCCTAAGCCCGGGTAAAGAGGGAAGGTTGGGCATAGGCTAGCAACCCTACCCCGTAAAACAAATCTAACCGCTAAAGAAACTTCAAAGCACAAACAAAATATAAAAAATGAAAACAAACTTATTCCCCGCTGGAATCGGAGAGGCGAAATGACGCCAGTTGGTGAAAGCCTTCGGGAAGCCAATTGGCCGATGTGTCTTCTCTCGATGAAAGCGAAAGTAAACGTGGGGACATGGAATGTCCGCACGATGTTTGAACCCAGTAAGGCAGCCCAGATTGCAAAGGAGATGAGAAGGTATAACATCGAAGTGCTTGGGATTTGCGAAAGCAGATGGAATGGGAGTGGACTCTCCAAACTGTCAACTGGAGAATCAATAATCTACTCCGGTCACCCAGACGCCAACCACGAGCACACTGAGGGAGTGGCTATCATGATGTCCTCAAGAGCATCGAAGGCTCTCATGCAGTGGGAACCAATCTCCTCCAGGATCATGTCAGCAAGATTCAACTCAAAAGGAAGAAAGGTCACAATCATACAATGTTATGCACCTACAAATAATGCAGAGCAAGAGAAAAAGGAGGAATTCTACAGACAACTTCAGTCAACACTGGACAAGACGTCAGTTGGCGATATCAAAATTCTAATGGGCGACATGAATGCCAAACTGGGAGGGGACAACACGGGAAGAGAACTAACCATGGGTCGAGAGGCGCTAGGTGAAATGAATGAGAATGGAGAATTGTTTGCAGAATTCTGTGCATTCAACGATTTGGTGATTGGAGGCAGTGTGTTCAGGCACAAGGATATCCACAAAGCGACATGGACTTCACCAGATGGACACACTAAAAACCAAATCGACTTTATCTCAATCTCAAGAAAATGGAGACGCAGTCTACTTAACACAAGGTCAAGAAGAGGAGCAGATGTAGGTTCAGACCACTATCTAGTGCAAGGAACCTTCGAAATCAAGTTAAAAGCCTTCAAGGAAGCTGGTGATAGACCTCAATTCAAGTACAACACTCGGAAACTGAAGGATGAAACTACAAAGGAGATCTTCAAAGCAGCCATCAAGACAAAATGGGAGACGTCGAGGGACATCCCTGAAGAAACCTGTGTAGAAGAACACTGGAAGTCTTTGAAAGCTATGTGGAAAGAAACCTGCACAACAGTATTAGGAAGGAAGAAGAAAGAAGACAAGGAATGGATCTCGACGGATACCTGGAAGCTGATAGAGGAGAGGAGGATGGTGAAGCAGAAGATAAACCAGTGCAAGGATGCTCAACGACAAGAGGAACTGAGCACAATGTATAAAACACTGGACAAAGAAGTGAAGAAGAGTGCACGCAAAGACAAAAGACACTTCTACGAACACTGGCAAGTGAAGCAGAACAGGCTGCAGGTAAGAGAGACCTGACGACATTGTATCAAATAACCAGGTTGCTATCAGGGAAGAGACCAACACAGATGAAACCAATAAAAGATGAAGAAGGAAATTTAATTACAAAAGAAGAGAAACAGAGGAAACGATGGGCCGACCACTTCAAGAAGCTCTTGAATCGACCACCACCTGCACTTCGTCCAGAAATACCACCTGCAGCCGCTGAATTACAAGTGAACATTAATCCCCCAACGAAAATGGAAGTCCTGAACGCCATAAAGCTACTGAAATGCGGGAAAGCAGCAGGACCAGATGGAATACCGCCAGAAGCACTGAGAACAGATGCAGAGACAACAGCGGACATGCTCACACCACTATTGCAGAAGGTGTGGAGGGAAGAGAAGGTACCTGACGATTGGAAGAAGGGTTACCTTGTCAAACTGCCGAAGAAGGGAGACCTCAGTGCTTGCAAGAACTGGCGCGGAATCACTCTCCTATCCACCCCAAGTAAAATATTAAGCCGCATCATCCTGGAGAGGCTTAAAGACGCACTGGATTCAAAACTGCGACCGGAACAGGCAGGCTTCAGGAAGTACAAATCATGTGCTGACCAAATTGCAACGCTTCGTATCATCATAGAACAGAGCGTAGAATGGCAATCAGCTCTATACCTCAACTTCATCGACTTTGAGAAGGCCTTTGACAGCGTCGACCGAGAAGTAATTTGGAAACTGCTTCAATACTACGGAGTACCGCAAACCTTTATCCGCCTCATTCAACAACTATATGAAGATGCCACATGCCAAGTAATCCACAATGGGAAGCTCAGTGATGCCTTTGAAGTGAAGACAGGAGTGAAACAAGGTTGCCTACTATCCCCCATGATATTCCTATTGTGGTGGACTGGATCATGCAGCAAACAGTAGGCAGCGAGAAGAGGGGGATACACTGGACGACGGAAAAGAACCTAGAAGACTTGGATTTCGCCGATGACTTATGCCTAATGTCACATAAACTTGAAGATCTGCAGGCAAAAACTAACAAGTTGACAGAGAGGCAGCTAAGACGGGACTTCAGGTGAATATAGAGAAGACAGAAGTGATGAAGATACCGCACCACCACCATCAACAACAACAACAAACTCCAATCACCGTCAACGGGAGAAACTTGAAGGAAGTAACCTCCTTCACTTATCTAGGAAGCACTGTTTCAACTACAGGCGGGACGGACGAGGACGTCAAAGTCAGAATCGGAAAAGCAAGACAGGCATTCATTAGCCTGAAACCAGTGTGGAGATCTTCTGCACTCAGCATGCGGAACAAGATACGGATTTTCAACACCAACGTCAAGTCAGTGCTCTTGTATGGCTCAGAGACTTGGCGCGTCACGAAAGGCATTTCCAATAAACTACAGACATTCATCAACAACTGCTTACGCTCGCTGCTGAAGATCAGATGGCCAGAAAAAATAAGCAACAAGGAACTCTGGGAACGAACCAACCAAGAACCTATCACGCAACAAATATGCAGGAAGAAGTGGAGATGGATTGGTCATACACTGAGAAGGCCGACTGAGGACATCACGCGTCAGGCCCTCGAGTGGAATCCCCATGGGAAGCGACGAGTTGGACGTCCGAGGGTGACATGGAGGAGGTCATGCGAGGAGGAAATGAGAGCTTGTGGGCTGTCGTGGAACCAGGTTCAAAAGATCTCAGAGAACAGAGGTCACTGGAGGCGTGCTACTGAAGCCCTATGTTCCACTAGGAACCCAAGGGACTAATAATAATAATATATAAGCAGATCATATGTACATTAATTGAGTAATTTAAGCACAAGTCTTCTTGGAATTTATATACTTCAGCCAATCTTTTCTCATAATATCGACTTCTGTTACTAAATTTATTGACTAGACAACAATTTTGTGCACCTACTTTCTTGTATAACTTGGTGATAAAGTTCTTGAAAAAAAATGTTTCTTTACTGATAGAAAACCTTGTTCTTCTTCCTAGATAACTGGATATATTTCGTCAGTTATAAAAGAATAATTTAACTTATGAATACACTTGCTGAAATGCAATGAAGTGCTATTAGATTAGTGGTAAACAGCTCAATGACCTAAGAAAATAGAAGGTTTGGAGGTGAACTTGCTCAGTGAAGTAGTGTTTTAAGACTTTATCCAATAAGCATTAGTGGTTAGTTCAATGTGTATGCACCGTTAGAGAGTATCATACTAGGACGAAACAACTGTCCGGTGCTAGCAGGTTCTCAATGTTACTCTGACCGATGTCAGTCCATGAATAATACCAACTCTAAATCAATAAATCCCCTAAACTGAAACAAAAATAAGATTCTCATAAATTGAAACCGTATAACAGTCTACCGGTGATAATTACTTCATAGTAGGTAATTCTTCTCAAGGTAATTAAAACGAGCTAAGATATTGAATAATAACGTAGTAAAATTTTTGAAATTTTAAACAGGTTATTGTGCAGTTGATACTTTGTGTAAAAGTAACTAACAAGAAGTGAACAGAAAACGAATTATTACGTCATATTCAGTTGTCGACAGAAATTGGGGACAAGAGGGGGACAGCAAAACGGCTAAAACTGTAATAGTAATAATAATAATTTCAATTGTTGGATGAATGAATAGAAGAGTGATCTTTTTTACAGATAAGCTATACCGATGACCAAAGCAAAGAAGGGATTTTACGAATTTCTTCTGAACATATAGACTCGACTTTTTCACGTGAATTCCGATGGCTTCTGGTGTATGTAAAAGACGAACCCGAAGAGTATGAATGAGATTAGAACGAATATGATCAATAACTTTGAAGGATTTGTCAATACTAACTCAGTGACCAGTGTCGGCGAGTGGAGAGAGTGTCGGGTGTAAGTATTGGTTTATTTAAAGGAACTATTCATCGCAAACGGACGTAATTCGGAGAATCACTGAGAACCTGGGGGCACTGCACAGCTCTTTCGTTCTCTTATGACAGTCCTCACCAGCAGATATCCATAACCCCACCAGAAATTGAGACGAAAATCGTCAGGTCTCTTGTGAGTTCGTTAACAATCAGTCACTGCGGCGGAATCATACGGTCTACATTTTCGGGATTCTGTCAAGGCGCGATATAAGCTTATCCTAGTCTAATGTTATTTGCCCTCACACGAATCTCCTGACCCTACTTGTCACAGTAGGACTCCAGGAAATTCATCTTGTAGCATATCACTTAACTGCAGTGGGCAAATACATTTTGGAGGCTTTTAAGGATCGACTAACGAATTAAAACAGTTACATTTACGCGATTATTAGTTATCTGCTCACATTTCAATGAATGCACACAAATCTGATTAGCATTTGTCTGTGTGTTACACCAAATAAGTATGTCTGTATATTCTCCTGCCTGTCAAGCTAACATTCATCTTCGTATGTTTACTTTTTTAAAACGTTTGCCTCTGTCTGTCTCTCTATCTATTCAAGCTAACTGATAAATGAAAGGATTTGACTGGTTAGGTGTGCATTACTGAGTGATTTGTTGGAAGTAATTGGTCCTACAAATGTCTTTCGTCTGACATGTGTGAAATGATCGACAGGTGCTTGAAGCTTAGTTGTCTTGTTACACACAAACATACGTACACATACCTAAACTAGGAAAAAAATAATAATTGGAGGAAAAGTAAACAGTTTATCATGTTCTTTCTCTCACCCTGAACCAAGAAAAGCATTTTTTTTATTAAACCCCTCTAATGCACTCATTAAACAGGAAGAAACCGAAGTTTTAACTTATGTTCCCCGTGATTTCCCTATCACAGCTGAAGAGAAATTTTGATTTATAGTCCTTTCTTCCAGGCATTGATCACCACCAACACCATCGCCTTCTGCTTATCTTCTTCTAATGCTACTGTGACGTCTATCGCGACGTCTATCAATCTTTGGGAAATATTATTATTATCATAATTTTCACTGGTTATTATACTTGTGAAGAAACAAAATCTGCACACTTTTCATTCCAAGCAGAAGACTGATATCAAATAATGTTGTGCATATACAGAGATTGACGACTGAATGTTAAACATTTCACACCTGAACGACAAATTAGTGGAAATACACAAATCTATGAATATATTTATATGGTAAATAGAACTATTCCTGCACCACTCTGTTCCGCTCATCTTTTCTTCTGATAGGATATTTAATTGTTAACATTGTGCATCAGTTAAGGGATATCTTCATAGAATACATGAAATTTTTTTAGGTAATGTTCTCATTTAAAAACAGACACTAAGTTGGTTACTTCAAGACATCAAATGACAAAAGAAGGTGAGTATCTTTTCTCATTTTGTGCACGTGTATATCTTGTTCGGAAGTGTATCCATGTATGTTTTCAACTAGGTGTTCAAGAAGGGCACAATTTCTCTTTATCACTTATTATTATATTTAGGTGAAAACAAATTACAACTCTGTAACAGAAATTAATGAGTACTGGATATCACTTTCATTTTAAAAACTATAACTGGAATAACAAAAGGCAGCGGTAAATAATATCCACATTGTCATGTATTCATTACTTATAATAAAAGTATCTGATAATATAGAACAAGTTAGGTTACTAAAGATACACCACAAGTATGCCCTTAAATAAGGATGAATTACACATGATAGGACAGTAGTTACTAATTGAACAAACAACAATATATCCTGTCATCTAAGTTGTTCTTAAAAGATAAAACGGAACCAAGCCAGTCAACTTATTTGAAAAGGAATATCATATACAGAAAAACCATGACATCATTTAGTCTTGCATAAGCCTCAAATTATGATCACTAATACTATTATTCCCTTTGGCGTCATCAGCAAGTAAGCATATTTCAATATATTCCACATTATTTTGTTCATTTGGTATACTTTTGTTAACTATTTGATTGCGAGGTAGTAATCACCACGGACTGAAATCATTTGAGAAACCATTGAAAATCTGGGAACATTGAACAGCTGTTTCGTCTTAGTATGGGACTCCTCAATAGTACGCACCCACGACTTGGCTAGAGATAGAACTCAGGACCTTCAGATTTCACTCTGTATCGTGAATCGACAGAAGTTGGAAACTGTGAACCCCCGAAAACCAACAACGTGGCTGAATGGTTAACGCGTTCACCGTGAAATCTGAGAGTCCTGAGTTCGACCCGTAGGTGGGTTGTAGATGCGTACTGCTGAGGATTCCTACACTAAGACGAAACAGTTGCCCAGTGCTCCCAGATTTTCAGTGGTTCCCCAATTAATGTCAGTCCATGATGAATACTACATCCAAATTAAAATTCCCACTTATATCAAGAATTATTTGATGATTTTTTAAATATTGCCAAAATGATATTTATAAATGATACTGGAAAATACTGTTTAGTCACAGCAGAACTTGATTCCATTGCCTACCAAGTGTTTACAAGTAATATCAATATTGTGAGCAACAATGCATCATGTTTGATAACTGCCAGGCCTTGAAGTGAATAAGTTTGAGGTGTCAAAGTATTAAGAAGGAATGACAGCTCCTGGTTGATCTTTATAGCCATCAGTTAGCATGACTTCTATAAGGTTTTGAGGCGTTGAAAAAATATATTGATGTTTAAAAAAGTTGGAAGAAAGGCGGGATTATTTTACATTGCTTGATATTTTCATCACAAAAACTGCCTTTAAACCATTAATGCCTAGATTTAGACCTGCTCAGTGATAAAGTAGCAAATAATGTTTCTGATAAGCAACAAGAGTAATTGAGGTTGTAATGGATATCAGCTAGTTCGAATCCGGTGGTGGTTCGGATTTTCATCTTATCTTCAGTCATCATCCAGTATAATAAGAATCATTGCATCATTAACTACTATAAACCTAAAAAGTTATGATAGTAGGGGTGATGCAAAAGTTATCTTTCGTATACAAATAGTTTAATCTAAAGACAAATGATGACTATTTATTCTTGAGATGAATGGGGATTTCAATTTAGAGGTAGTATTCATTATGAACTGATATCAGTTGGGGAACCATTGAAAATCTGGAGGCACTGGACAGCTTCTTCTTCGCCTTCTTCTTAGTATGGGAATCTCCAGCCGAAAGCTCAGACTACCCGTCTAGGGCTCTGAAACCTGAAGGTCTTGAGTTCGATCCCTGGCAGGGTCATGGGTGCGTACTGCTGATGAGTTTCGCAGTAGGACGAAACGGCTGTCCAGTGCTCGCAAATTTTCAATGGTTCCGCAACTAATGTCACTCCGTGATGAATACTATCTCTAGATTATCAATTCAGCATCAGGAAATAATCTGTTCTCATTTAAAATACAGACATAAAAGCCAACATAACTTTACATTCAAGATAAAAATAAATACTTTTTCCAGTGTTTTATGATCGTATTGTCATAAGCATTATTTACTACACTCATGACTCAATGTCATTGGTCCTATTATCATGTGGAAAGCATATATGCATTTTTAAAAAAAAAATAATCTGTAAAGGGCATGTTTATTTCGGTTTTACATCAATAATTTAACTACTGATGTAAGATAGTAGTCATTTACAAGTCATAGTAAGGATATAATAACTTTTAACTCTGTTATGCATAATTCATGGAATTTAATTCGTTTGAAAGAAAATTCATTTGACTTGAGCATAACATATTGCTCATAATCATATCATTAGCTTTATTGGTAGTAGAATTTTCGATGTCCCTGTGATGAAGTTGTAATAACGATTCTAAAGACTGATCTACTAAAGTTGATAGAACAGCTTATCAGTGAATATTATTTTTTATTGACTCATCGCCTTACGCATATAGTAGGAATGGTTCAATAACGATCTGAAAATTATGCGAAATTCTAAAAGTGATAAAATTAAAGAAGGAAAAGCGATAGAATTAGAGAGAAGAACGAAGTTTTAATGATGACACTGGCATCATTATAAGCGAAAAATTGTGCTCGTAGAGTTATCCAGTCCATAATACTGTACAAGTGTGCGCGATATCCAGTGAAATACTGTATAATGAAAAGAATTCATAGTTTGCGGAAACTGTGTACAAGAGAATCAAGGAACTAGAGAAAGGAACACCTCTAGAAAAAGCAGCGGAATAGTTCTATGATTCTGGAATATAAATCATCCTTTTAAGGCGTTTTATCACTATATCATTTCACAGGGTTGCATTTTATGCCTGACGACTTATATTTTTCGGTCGAAAGTGATTATCTTTTGTTTTCAGTCTTAATTACGGATTTCATATTAAGTGTTAAAAACCTATTGTTTGCAAAAAAGTGGTCGTCCACCTTGTCAAAATTAGGTTAAGACTATCAAATGATAAGAAAATCCATCTCATTTAGTGAATTCGCTTCATCCCCTTTATAATAGCTACTTAAGTGAATTTATTTCCATGTTTTGGTGTTATCTGATAAAAGTCAGTCAGTAAGACGCCGTGGTTGACCTAAGATTTATGCTTATTGACACACATCAGTAAGACATACATGAAATCATGAGCAAACTGTTGTTCCTTCAGTGCTGAAGTCAAACTTTTAACCACAATACTATTTAAATCATGGGTGACTCTCTTTGCAAACCGACAATCGATGGGAACTAGTGGCCTATAAGTAAGCGAAGAAGTTGTTTAATACTCGGTGCTCAGCACTGGTTGAAGTTTATCGACTAAAATTTAGAGTTTCGTCTATCATACACTGACGACCAGTAGTTTTACATCCCAATAGGCTACATCCACGTGAGAGTGAAGATTCTTTGATGCGCCAGAATACCTGCAGACCTACAGTTCAAAAGCTACAATTTACAGGTTTTGCCTTCAATTCTGGTTATCTCTATAATAAACTTAGGCCAGTTTACTGAAATGTAGTTGCCTGAAATAGTCTCATCGAAATTTTTTGTTACTCACCTAATGTTTCTGAGAAGACATCTTTGTTTTCAAAAAGAGTTTTTAGTATGCATCAAAATAGATCACTTAACTCATCAAAACTTTTTAATTGGATAATAGTTTAACACCTAGCTGGGAGGAAATCCTTACACCTGACAATAAATTACTACATCTCAATAGATAGTAGTGTTAATGCTTAGCTTTTCCACGTGGTATATAGCAACCTGATTGACACATGGAAAGTGTGAATGATCTCAGCGAAATTAGGAAATATGCAGATTGAAAGCTGAGATACAACACTCAAGACTAACTGTTTTAAACTAAACAGACTGATTAGTGAGCTACACGGCTACATTTACCTGTTCTGAAAAATAGCTTTTAATGCATAATTCGGTATCATACAAAAGTAACCACGTGCCAAGTATCTAAATGGCGATGACTAGAAAAATAGTATCGAAATAAGCTTAATGCATGTCTCTTGCTTTGGAAGTTATGTTGGGGGTGTTCTGCTGCACTGCGTGAAAACGAAACCAGAAACTCCGTCTCTCAATTCAGACAACTATTATCTAGAAAAGTAAATACAGAATGGTATTCTAACTTTCAACCTCCCTGACACTTCTGAAATGTCACTGAATGGACTTAATCATAATCTGTTTTTCTCCTTTGTTAGTTTGGATCAGTTCACTCACTGAACGAATTCAGACAATAACCTACTACAAAATGTTTTATTTGTTTACCACTTCGATGGATTATATGGCCCTTTCTAAAGGGTTTACATATATTATGTAATCCACCCTCTTATTATTCATATCTCAACTGTTGGTATAATTGTAGGTACTTTTATCATTTTGGTAATATTATCATTCATTAGATATTATTATTTGTTGGTGCTTGCCTTTTTGGATAGTTATACTCAGTCAGATTGATCGAATTCTCTTAATATGTATTGGCTCCTATGCGGATGCCTTGAATATTTAGGGTTGTGGTTGGCTTAGTTGTAGCAGCAGTGGAATCTAGGGCTAATACCGGTTGGGCAAGAGGTGGCTGTCTTACTTCAATGATTTAGTGGATAACTCTTTGATGTTTGAAGCAATGGATATGAAGCTTGAGTCTTAGTGGGATCAACGTCACTCACTGGGAGTGTAAATACCCCCAGCTGACGAATTCCGAATGGCACGAAACGTGCTTCCTGGATTGCGATGATATTTACAACCAAGTTTTCATTCATTGTTTGAATTTCCTGAAGGGACATAATTTTTCAAATATTATTTTCATACAAATATACAGATTGAGAATAAATTCGTCTCAATCTGCGAATGTATCTTGACGGAAGAGTGATTTGTGCATTCATTACTTCTACGTTTATGTAGTTATTCGTTGATCTCTTCACTCATCTGTTCTTCCATATATCCATCGTATCCAAATTAGTAT